AGGGGAATCACTTTGTAAAGTATACAATTGTCTAATCACCGAAAATAATACAATATTGCTATATACCCAAAATAATACAATATTGTATGTAACTGCCACTGAAAAACAAAATTTAAAGAAAAACATAGAAGTTCATAGAATAACACACTGAATACAGAAAATCTAATAACCTGAAACTATGATTTTTAAAGCAATGGAAGATTTTATGGACTGACAGATCTGGGTTCAAAAATCACAGTTTTACCCCTTATCAGTGGTGTGGGAAGGGATAGTTTACTTAATGTCATTGGACCTCAGTTTCTTATATATAAAATAAAGATAATGCCTACCTTTCCACTTTCTGGTGCCAATGTAAAGATTAATGAAATAATGTAGGTAAACACTTGATATGATAAGAAGTACAAAGTAGAACCTCAATAAAAAGGAGAGACAGTAGTGGTAGGATGGTGGTCAAATTACAAATTAAGAAATTGAAAAATTCTGTAAAATAATGAGCTTATAGTCCCTTAAAAACAAGGGATACAAAGAAGGCTATATCAAAGGAGGACAAATTGATATGATGAGATATTTCTTCACAGTAACTTCTCTTTTGTCATAGCAAGGATCGTGCAAACATAGGCCAGTATCTAATGGCCACTGATGAAGGGCAGCACTCAATACTTGGCTGCTTTCTGAGGATGACAGAGACTCATTATGTCACTGGTTAAACTAGTTCATTCATAAAACTGCAGGTGTTCATAGCACTGTATAAAGTGGTAAAGCAGTGCACATTCGAGGAACTCTGTAGCCACATCCTGAGTAGGGTAGTAGAAGAAACTGTTCTAAGGAATTTTAGGCTAATCATTAAGATACATTTCTTCAAAAGTGAAAATTAGTGGAATGGAAATCTTTTAAAGCACCTAAATAAATCTTAAAATGAGATGGATAATGTGCATGATAATTTTCCTTGGGTTTAAGTCTTCAAAGGTGTTTATGACTTTATTATAAGCTTCTATTAGGACAACGTTACCCTTGAAGACTAGAAATTTCAGTAATAAACCAAATATAGGCTGATTTGTGTCATTTTTGCCTTAAGTTGGAACACGTAGTAAAAGAAAAATATAAGTCCTCTGAATAGAGTCTTTCTTCAACAAAATGGCTATGTCAGCAGAGGCAGCAAACCAGAGCAGTATTTGAGTACAAAGTTCAAAAATCATTTCCTAAGATCATAGAGTACTTAAAATGTAGTATGGTTAGGTTAATGTGTACTTTTACTTTATTTCTCTTAGCATTGGGTTACCAAGTATATGTCAGGTATCTTTCTCTGCATCTCCTAGAGTTTACTAAAAATTTTAATTAATTGAGGGAATTTCATATATACAGACACATATAAAAGACCATGTGTTTGCCCTGGAGGGGTGGCTAGTTAACTAAAGCATCAACCTACACCAAAATGTTGTGGGTTCGATCCCTGGTCAGGACATATAACTAGGCTGTGGGATCATTCCCTGTCAGGACTCATATGGGAGGCAACCGATTGATGTTTTTCTCACTCACTTTCTCTCTCCTCACTCCCAAGCCATTCCTCTCTCTCTAAAATCAAATATATATATAATCTCCATCCTTGGGTGATTGAAAAATAAAAAAACTGGAAAGGGGGAAAAAAAAACCCACGTCTTATCAATGTTTCAGCTCACTTCTCAATGTCTGGTACCACATATCGTTACATCTGTTTATGCCCCCAACGTATAATATCTAGAATAAATTACATTATAAGCACTTGGTACTGAAAGAATGAGTTTTCTAATCTTAAATTCAAAACAATTCCAGACTGTGGTGCATAACTCACATTCCTCTACACTTCTGTAGCAAAATGTACACAGAAACACTGAAGGAGAGATCTAACTAACATGTACAGAAAATTTTAAATACAGACAAGTCTTAGGTTAAAAATTCAAATTATATGAACTGTTCCATAAGGCCTGTAAAATACAAAGAAGTGATCATTATAATATAGAAATACAAAATATCAAAATATAATGCACAGGCAAAATATAGAAAATACAATATAAAAAATTCCATTATCCTAATAAAGTTTGAACTAGTAATATGATATTTAAAATATTTTTTATTGTTTAAAAGCACAATGTAATTATGGTATAAAAACAGGAGAAATGAGAAAATTTATAGAGAAAGATAATTACACAGCACAGCAAATCTTTACTATAGATAAAAGTGGATTACTTGGAGTGAAAAGCCAGCTAGGACATTATTTCAAAAGAAAACCAAAACTTTAAGGTTGTGAAAGATAGCCTGATGCTTTTGCTTGGGCTAGATACAATGTAAGATCGCATTTCTGCAAAAATATAGCACCAGTGTTTTTAACCCAAGTTCTATTACCATATTTTCCAAAATCAATTAACTCAGAAGTAGTTGGAGAGCACTTGTACCATTCAATTATTTAACACTTTATGGAAAAATTCTCCTTCTGCAATACTCTAATAATAGACAGATTGGAATGAGAAAACAACCAGAACCAAGAAACGTTTTAACTGTCAAAACTAATGAACATACACCAATAGGAAGCAGATAAAGAATTATCTGCTCCATTCCCATAAATAGTAATTCTCACATCAAAGATTTGTAGTTCATTACGCTCAGTCCAAAGCCTCCCTTTACTCTATCCCATAGCCCTCTCACCCATACCATGCAAGAGTGGAATAGTGGCATTTTTAACCTCTCCCAATAATTTACATCAGCCTCTCTGTAAAAATATCCTTACAAAAATACAATCTAAATAAACCAATTTCTGTTATTGCAAAAAAAGCTTCAAGACAAGAAACCTGGGGACATCATTCCAAATGGGTTGCTGTCCCTTCCCCCCACATCATGCTTTGTTAGAGTACAGCACAGTGGTAGAAGCATGGATTTGGAGGTAGGCTATACAAATATTTGTACATTTTGACAAGTGCCAGAATATTTTTTAAAAAATAAGGAAGCACTGATTTAATGAATAGGCAATCCCAAAATGTATATAGTTGATACAAATATGCAGGCATCCTGGAAAGCAATTTAACTATAAGTATCTAAAAACTTAAGTGTATGTATACAATTTGATCCAGATATTCAACTATGAATAAACTTATTCAATATCTTCTAGGAAAATAATAGGCTCAGCATGCAAGGATGCATGTGCACAAATGTTTTCTACATTAATGTATAAAACAACAAAATAATGCAAAATTCCTAAATGTCTAGTGATTGGTAAAATTAGTATGCTAAAACCAAACCATGAAATAACATACAAACATTAGACAAACATTTTTAAAAATGATGAACTGTCACATTTCCTTGGCTAGAAAAATATTCATGATACGTTGCTATGTGAAAAATGCAGATCACAAAACAGGAAAAACAGAACAATCTCATTAGTATAAAAAAATTTTAATCACATAATTAAGAGAAAATACCCTGGAATAATTGTTGAACAATTACTAACTGAGGGGATTAAGGGTGATTATTAATTTCTTCTTTGTTAATGCTCTATTCTCATTTCATTACAATGAGCGTTACTACTTTTACAAGCTGAAAATAAATGTTTTTTATATTTTGAGTAAAAGAGTAACAGCAGTAAATCTACACAAAGCACACAGATAACTGATAGTTGATTATGTAAGTCCATGTATGGACTTGAATATACCTACATATCTAATCTTAACTCTATTTAAGTATTTGCCTCAAATTTTGACTTTTGAAAATTAGCACTTCTAAATTGCAATTTAGACGTTTTTAGGATTTCAAAGGCAATGAGGGACATTTGTGTCATCCCAATAAAACCAATACTGCTCTAAGATTGTTGCACATTTTTTTAGTTAGCTTTGCAACTGTAAACAAATTACAATTTTGTGAATGTGTAGTGCATACTGGGCCTTGCCTTTTGAGTTCCTGCCACCTCCCCAAACCTGCCTCCCAAAACTAAACCACTTTTATAATAAACTGCCTGAAGTTCATAAGGAAAACCACAGCAGAACGCCACTTCTTTAACAGCTTCAGAAAGGAATAATTGTCAGTGAAGTCCCCAGGAAGTGAGGGGGGAACATCAAATAGAGTTATTCAGACAAGTCTGACTATTCTCTTCTTCCAAGTATCCCCACCACAATACTACAGGGAAGATAAACCTTAACACACACAGTAAGATAAGAGAAGTTTAAAAATTATTTAAATTACACATAAGAATTCATAATTTAGAAATTTAATACTGACCTAAATATGAACTTTATAATAAAAACATAATATGTAGATTTTATTCATTCAGATTAGAGTTAGAGAGCTAGAGAGTTTTAATATAATGAAACAACTATAAGAATATAGACAGTCTGCCCTGGCTGGTGTAGCTCAGCTGACTGAGCGTGGGCTGCAAACCAAAGGGTCGCTGTTCGATTCTCAGTCAGGGCACATGCCTGGGTTGCAGGCCAGGTCCCCAGTTGGCCAGATGCAAGAAGCAAACAATCAATGTTTCTCTCCTTCTCTTTCTCCCTCCCTTCCCCTCTTAAAAAAATAAAATTTAAAAAAATTCATAAAATTTGATTAGTGGTCAGACACACAAAAAAAGGTACTTGAATAAGTCAGAGAAAGGCAAGTATTGTATGATCTCACTTATATGTACAGTCTAAAAAGAAAACCAAAACTATAGAAACAGTAAATTGGTGGCAGGCAGAAGGCCAATGAGTAAAGGTACAAACTTCCACTTACAAGTTCTGGGGATATAATGCACAGTATGGTAACTATAGTTAACAATACTTTATTGTACTCATTTACCTGAAAGTCGTTAAGAGAATAAATCTTAAAAGTTCTCACCATACAAAAAAAGTAATTATGTGAGGTGATGGATGTGTTAACTAACCTTATTATAATCATTTCACAACACACCCATATATCATCACATGGTACACCTTAAACTTACATAATATTATGTCAATTATAGCTCAATGAAGCTGGGAAAAATCTTGAAAAGTACTTACCACTAAGTCCCAATTATTTTGTTCAAGCAGTGTAATAGCTTCATCAATATTTTCAATGCCAGTACATGCCTGGAAACAAAGAAATAAGAATTTTTACATAAAATTTTGGGAATAGGGAGGTTAATTAATCTTAAAAATGTACATAGCATAATGAATAATTTAAGTCTGAATAGGTGTATTAATAAAGCCAAGACACTGAAAACCTAGTACTTCTGAGCATTTCATATTGTTTGAAAATTGATGACTACTGGGTTGGCCAAAAAGACTGTTATGTTTTTCCCGTACAACCGCTCCAGTAGTGCTTATTTGTCTTTAACTGTCATATCAGTGTACACTTAAAAAAATTTATCAAAATTGATGAATTTTTGTGTAGCCATTTTAATATTGAAGATGGAAGAAAATGCATAACACTTTTGGCTTTATTATTTCAAGAAAGGTAAAAACTCAACTGACACACAAAAAACATTTGTGCAATGTGTGGAGAAGGTGCTGTGACTGATGGAATGTGTCAAAAGTGGTTTGTGCCCTGGCTGGTGTGGCTCAGTGGATTGAGTGCCAGACTGCAAAGCAAAGGGTTGCCAGTTCGATTCCCAGTCACGGCACATGCCTGAGTTGCAGGCCAGGTCCCCAGTAGGGGGCACATGAGAGGCAACCACACAATGATGTTTCTCTCCCTCTCTTTCTCCTTCCCTTCCCCTTTCTCTAAAATAAATAAATAAATAAATTCTTTAAAAAAAATTTTTTTTAAAGTGGTTTGCGAAGTTTCTTGGTACTACTGACATTTTGGCTAAATGACTCTTTGCTGTGGGGCTGTCTTATGCACTGGAAGATGTTTAGCAGCACTCCTGGCTTCAACCCACTAGAAGCCAACAGCGGGAGATAACCAATATATTCAAAATATCAAAATTTTAATTTATTTTATGGAAATAACCATAATGTCTTTTATTTTATGGAAAAAGTCCTTTATTTTATGGAACAAAGCCATTCAGACGTTTTAGCCAACCCAATACAAAGTAAATTACATTACCATGAAATGAAAGGCAATAAAATAAAGCTGAAAAAGAAAGTATGTTTAAATGTTGAGTTTAAGAGCCCAGATAATCTCTAGATCTCTCACTACCCAGAACAATTTTTAGTAAAAAGTTTCTGATGAACAGCCATATGTTAAATAAATGAATATACCTACCTTGCACTTTATACAAAATAATAATCCATCCATTGTTCCTTATACAAAAATTAACTCAAAATAAATAACAGACTAAAATAAAACCTAAAACTTCTAGATCTGTGCTAATATGGTAGACAATAGACACAAGTGGCTACTGAGTCCCTGAAATGTGTCTCAACTGCATTAACATGTGCTGTATTAAATATATACCAAACAGAACTTAGTACAAAAATAAAAATGTAAAGTATCTCATTAATAATATTTCTACTCAATACATGTTGAAACAACATTCTGAATATATTGGCTTAAATAAAACTATTTAAATTAACTACATTTAAAAAAAAAATGTGGATACTTAAACTTTTAAATTACCAGTACATGTATGACTTCCATTCTATTTATAATGTTGTTCTAGAAAAAAAGATAGGAAAAAGTCTTTGTGATTTGTAGATACAACAGCAAAAGTACAATCCAAAAAACTGATAAAATGGACATGACTGAAATTAAGAATTGCTCTTCAAAAGACACTGTTAAGAGGGTAAAAGCCACAAAGTATGAGAAAACACCTGCAAACCATGTCTAACAGAGAACAAGTAACCAGAATATAAGAAAAATTCTCAAAACTCAATTTAAATAAATTATAAATAGTGAAAGATTTTAACAGAAACTGTCCAGCCCACGTGGCTCAGTGGGTTGAGCACCATTCTACAAACCAAAAGGTCACTGGTTTGATTCTTGGTCAGGGCACATGACTGGCTTGCAGGCCAGGTCCTGGGTTGAGGGTGTGCAAGAGGCAAACCATCAGTGTTTCTCTCCCACATTGATGTTTCTCTCCCTTTCTTTCTCCCTCCCTTGGCCTCTCTCTAAAAATAAATAAAATCTTAAAAAAAAAAAAAAAAGATTGACAGAAACTTCACCAAGGATGTACAGATGAGAATAAGCACATTAAAAAAATGTTCATTATCCTTAGTCATTAGGGAAGTGCAAAAACAATCACAGAAAGATGCCACTTCCATACATTAGAATGACTAAAATCCAAAATACTGACAATATCAAATGATGGTAAGGATGCAGAAGAATTGGAACTCGCATACATTGCTGGTGAGGATGCAAAATGATGTAGTTAGCCATTGTGGAAAACAGGCTACATCAGTTTCTTAGAAACAGTGTCTTAGAAAGCTAGGACACAGAAATCCTGCTCCTAGGTACTTATCCAAAGGAAATGAAAACTCATATTAATATGAAAAGTTTACATGAATATTTATAATAGCGTTGTTTATAATCACAGAAAACATAAGACATTCCAGAGTTCCTTCAACTGTACAGTCATATAATAGAAAACTACTCAGCAATAATAATGAACAAATTATTGATAATACAAAACAACATGAATAAATCTCAAATGCATTAAGTGAAAGCCACACTCAAAGGCTACATACTGTATGATTCCATTTATATGACATTCTAGAAATGGTAATATTATAACAAAAAGCATATTAATGATTACCAGGGGATCAGAGTGAGAACAGGGGTTGATTACAAGAACCAAGAAGAAATTTTGAGGTGTAAGGTAATAGTTTGAATCCTGAACACCACAAAAAAAAAGAAAAAAAAAGTCCAACAAGACATTAAAACAACTCCATTTTAAGCTAAATGGGATAGTGGGGTAGAGATAATCCAAAGGCTTCAAAATACCAATAAAAACTGGTAAGAACAGTTAGGACAGGGCACAAGTTGCACAGAACAAAGTGGAGATAAAAACTACAGAGAAAGCACAACAAAAATTCAAAGCAAGTATCAGAAAGCATAAGCAAAAATATACTTCCTCAATGACATCAAAATTTCCTTCAAAAAGGGGGTGTTGGTGAAGGAAGTATTACCAAGAGCCCTACCTTCTATAGAAAATACAAAAAAAATTAAGCAAAAATCATCAGAATCAAATTTGTCAGATCTCTGAAAAATAGTTTGTTTATATCAACCAAGAAATACTGAAACAAGAAAAGGTAAGTTAAAAACTGTGTGAAAGCTTTACCTCATTTCCATTTTCCCTTCCCACTCTTGGCTCAGGGGCAACAGCTGGTCACTGATCCCTGGTTCTAAGGCAGCAGAGGCTTTGTTTTCAAAAAACTTGGGTTAGTCCGTTGTGACCTATGTAGGGCTACCTAAAGGACTAACTCCAGGAACTCTCCTTTCTTTCATCAACTTAGACTTTTGGCGGAGTAAAGAAGCAGCTATACAGAGGGCATTCTTCAAAAACATTTTAAGGCAAATGAAAACCCACTATAATTTGGTAAAATATTACAGTTGAAGCAAACAATACATGACAAAAGTCTGAAAGAAAAGCTGGGAGGAGTGTTTCTTTGGGAAATTAGGGCATTGAAAAACACTTTGGAAACTTAGAAAGCCATGCACATGTCCAAGCCAGAATACCTACTCAGAGAAGACTTGATAAAACTACCGGTTCATTTCTAGGCTCTGCACAAGCAAGAGCTGAAGGCTAAGATAGTGTTATAAACAGCCTACCTAAGCATTAGAGTGCCTTAACATACAGCCAGTCTGCAAAAACTGGAAAAATTTTTGTCTTCATTTTCTTCTCATTTCTATTTTTGTTACTCCAGATATTCAAAGAAATTTCTTTCATAATACTAGCAGATCACAGCTAAATAAAAAGAGATCTCAGAAACTGTCATCTGCTAAATGTTTGTGTACTCTCTCCAAAATTTAAATTTTGGAGCTCTAGGCCTCAGTATTATGGTACCGGGAGGTGGGGCCATTGGGAGGTAACTGGGTTTAGATGAGGTTGTGACCGTGGGGCCCTCAAAATGGATTAGTACCCCTTATAAGAGACACCACGGAGATTGTGCATGCCAGCATGAGCACTCTCTCACCCTCTCTTCCCCTGTCCAGCCCCCATGTGAGAACAAAGCAAGAGAGTGGCCATCAGCAAGTCACGAAGAGAATTCTCACCAGAAACCAAACATACTGGCACCCTGACCTCAGACTTCCAGCCTTGAGAACTGTGAGAAAATTAAGTTCTATTCTTTGATATTTTGTTATGGTAACCCAGGCAGACTAAGACACAGACCACTCATTACCAAAAAATTACAAAAACTGTTTAGGAAAGTTATTAAACAGATAATTACAACTCACATAAAGCAACAAAACTAACCATAAAGAAGAGGAAGAGTCTTATCTCCAGAGTTATGATGTTAATACTTGAAATGGCCACTTCTCCAAAAAAAATCTGTGAAGCATGGTAAGAAAGAAGAAAATATGGCCTATTCAAAGGAAAAATTCACAGACACTGTGAAAAAAAACAAACACCAGACTTACTAGACAAAGACTTTTAATCACTATCTTAAATATGCTCAGAGAGCTCAAAGAAACCATGAACAACAAAGAGCTAATAAAAGCAGGAAGACAATGCATCAATAAATAAAAATCTGAATAAAGAGAAATGGAACCAGAAATTCTGGAACTAAAAAATACAATAAAATGAAATGAAAAATTAACCACAGCATTTCAATAGCAACAACAGACAGGCAGGAAAAAATCAAAGAATTTAACAAAATAAAAAATTGTAACTTTCAAAAAAGACAATACAGGAAGGAAGTTTTCAGAAACTTATTATATACAAATTCTACCAGATGGTGAAAAACCACTAGATCCTGGTTACTTTATTCAACCTCTAAAGATTCTGTGTTTTGTCTGTATTGTAAACTCTTTTGGGAAAGGAAGAAAGATCAACTGAAGAATGAAAATGGCTGCAAAGATTGACATTTATCACACATTCTTAGCAAACGCAAAGACAGTGAAATGCACATCAAGAATAGTGTTGTTTTCAAATTAAAATCTGATTTGAAAAAAACAAAACAAAATTGTTGAAGCCGAGGAACACAGA